ATATTTGATTAAGTGTGTCATATCTTAATTAAATTCTAGATTCAAACCCCAAGTTAGGATAAGAGTGTGTAATATCTCTTAAACACCAACTTGGTTTATCCATCCCTGATTTTCTCCCATTTCATACCTCCCCATTTCTCCTCTTAATCTTACTCTTTTCTTCCATTGAAAATACCCAAAAGAACTCCTTCATCATCCCTGTATTTTTCCAGCCATTCCCCACACAAACACCATCATTTCGTTCCCAGAAATCTGTCAAAATAATCGATTATCATTGATAACAATCGATTATCAGTCCTCTTTTGAAACACCCGCAGGGATCAATAATCGATTATCCTTTCCAGATAATCGACTATCATTCTTCCCCAGAAATCTGCAGCCCTAAATAATCGATTATCACCATACCAATAATCGACTATCAATCCCTCCTGAAAATCCAAGAAGCTGCACCATCTGACAATCGATTATCTAAGATAGACAATCGATTATCCTCTTATCCTGAAAACAAAAGGCTTTGTTTCTTGAGTTTGAACTTAATACCGTCAAACCCGGAGCTGAGATATAACAGATAATATGACAAAGTTTGCACTATTTAATCAATGGTTTTGATTCCTTGATGTTTTTATCTCTATCCTTGGTAAATGGGGTTGTGTTTATGGATATTTGGAGTGGGAAATTCGGCCATATGCGGAAGGATATGAAGGGGATTGGGTTTTAAACAACAAGACAAAATCAGCACTATTCAATCAAGGAAAACTTTTTCCTGATTTTGTTTTTGTTTTGTGAATTGAATTTTGTCTTGATCAAATCATAATGTGGCCTGATTTTTAGGTAAAAGAGTTGGGAAATTCGTGGGTTTGATGTAGGGAAGTGAAAGGAAGGCTTTATTTTAATTAAAAGGAACAAAAGAAGTAGAAACATTACACAAGGTTTGTCGTTCTGACCTCATTTTTGTTCATGGCTAAAAAGGAGAGAAAAGACTTTATTTTGTTCATTAAATGAAAATAAAAGACTTTGGATATTTTGGGAAGGATATGGAACGGTTTGATATCAAGAAAGGCTTTGGAGGACAAGGGTTATGGTTTGGGTTTTAGGGTACGAAAGGTTAATGAGTTCAACCCAAAAAGGATCATAACACTTAGATATTAACCCTTTGATTTGTTTTATGGTTTGTGGTGTAGCCTCCATGCTTGTAGGAGCATCCCGGGGTACATCATCCTCCCCTTCTTCAGGAGAGTTTGACCTCAAACTCGGAATATCTTCGGGTTCAAAGTACGGGCTGAGATCCGTGACATTGAACATGGCTGAAACTGCATAGTCTCTGAGCAGGTCTATCTTGTATGCGTTGTCGTTGACCTTAGCTAAAACTTCGAACGGACCATCTCCTCGGGGAAGAAGCTTGGACTTGCGTTTTGAGGGAAAACGCTCTTTTCTAAGGTGGATCCACACTAGATCTCCAGGCTGGAAATCCATTTTCTTGCGTCCCTTGTTGATCTTTTCACTGACACGCTCATTCCTCTTCTCTATTTTTGCTCGGACCTTGTTGTGAATAGCTTGTATCTCCTGTGCTCGTTTCTCCGCTTCCCAATTGTACTTTGTATCTATTAAGATTGGATTAAGATCAAGTGGGGTAAGGGGATTAACACCATAAACAGTAACAAATGGCGACACGCCTTTTGTTTTGCTTGGGCTGCGGTTGTAAGCAAATTCGGCATGAGGAAGTAATTCCTCCCACTGTTTGATGTTCTTCTTGATGATGGCACGAAGGATGGTACCAAGTGTTCGGTTTGTTACTTCCGTCTGGCCATCGGTTTGCGGGTGGCTTGATGTACTAAACTTGATTTTAGTACCCATCTTTCTCCACAAAATCATCCAAAAATGACTTAAGAATTTGCTGTCTCGATCGGAAACCATACTTCGGGGAATGCCATGAAGTTTGACAATATCCCTAAAGTACAAATCTGCAATTTGTGAAGCATCGTGAGTTGTTAGGCACGGAACAAAGTGTGCCATCTTTGAAAATCAATCAACCACCACCATGATTGAATCCTTTCCTCGCTGCGTTCGTGGCAAACCGGTGATGAAATCTAGACTCACGTCGTCCCAGGGAGCTTGTGGGACGGGTAGCGGCATATGCATTCCTTGTGCGGCTTTGGAGTGGCTTTTGGCGAGTTGACAAGTAGTACAACGCCGAATAAAATGCTCGGTGTCTCTTTCCATCTTTGGCCAGTAATAATGCTCTTGAAACATTATATAAGTTTTATCCATCCCGAAATGACCAGCCAAAGAACCGCCATGAACTTCCTCAATTATTGTTTCGCGCAAACTACATTTCGGGATACATAGTTGGTTGCCACGAAACAGAAAATCGTCTTTAATGACGAAGTTACCAAAGGGCCGTGTGAGGCACTTATGGTATGCCTCCTTGAAATATTCATCATCTTTGTATAATCCCTGCAAAATTTCAAAGCCAACAAGTTTGGTACTAAGTACCGTTAGTAATAAATGTCGCCGGGATAAGGCGTCAGCGCCTTTTTTCAGGGTCCCGCTCTTGTGTTTTATGGAGAAGGTGAAGGTTTTGATGAATTCAACCCATTTGGCATGATGGGGTCGGAGTTTATGTTGCCCTTGGATGTACTTCAGCGCTTCATGATCGGAATGGAGTATAAACTCCTTGCTAATCAAATAATGCCTCCAATGCTCAAGAGATCGTACAAGATCGTAAAACTCTTTGTCATAAGTTGAATATCTCCTTCGAGTGTCATTCAACTTCTCACTAAAATATGACACAGGGTGGCCTTCTTGGGATAATACGGTTCCTATGCCAACGCCGGAAGCGTTGCATTCAACTTCGAACAACTTATTAAAACTAGGCAAAGCTAACACTGGTGCATGTGTTAGTTTAAGTTTGATAGTTTCGAAGGCCTGTTGTGCACTTGGATTCCACTCAAACTTTTGATGTTTGGTTAAATCCATAAGAGGAGTTGTGATAGTATTGAAATCCTTGACAAATCTTCTATATAAAGAAGCAAGGCCATGAAAACTCCGGACTTGTTGCATAGTGGTTGGCATGGGCCAATCTCGTATGGCCTGCGTTTTTCTTTCATCAACTTTGATCCCTTCATTTGAGATAAAATATCCCAAAAATTCAGTTTCTTGAGAGAAGAATTGGCTCTTCTCAAGGTTGCCATACAATTGTTATTCATCAAGCTTCTTAATCACCAAAGTGAGGTGATTGATATGTTCTTCTTCACTCTTGCTATAAATCAAGATGTCGTCAAAGTAGACAACAACAAAATGACCTATAAAAAGCTTCAGGACCTGGTTCATCAACCTCATGAACGTACTCGGGGCGTTAGTTAAGCCGAAAGGCATAACCAACCACTCGTAAAGACCAAACTTAGTCTTGAAAGCGGTTTTCCATTCATCTCCTTCAAAAATCCGGATTTGATGATAACCACTTCTAAGATCATCAAAATATCAATTTCAACTAATAATTTAATCCTCAATAATCAGTGGTTTCATCAAGTCATAATCATCATAATAATCATTCACCATAATCATCAATCAACATAACATTCAATAGCAAATAGCGGTCTAGCTTCGAGTGTTAACACTCGAACTTACCGTCATGCATCACATAACATTTTTATTTGTCAAAAACATCATTTTTATTGTGGTAAATCATTTTTATAATGATCGTAATCAATTGGTATCAAAAATAGGATTTTAGAGCTCAAAAATAGCAATTTTGGGCAAATTTTCGGATCAGAACTTCGGGGGATCGATCCAAACTATGAAAAATCACTCCCAGGGGATCGATCCAGACAGTGGTGTTTCAGCCACTGTTCATCTTCTTGTTCGTTCGGGTCCAATTTCGGAAATATCGTTTTTAGTTATCGAACTTCGACGAAACTATATAGAGATGTTCTCCAAGGTTCATAGATCATTTTGGCATCATTAATTCATAGTTTTAACATCAATTTCATGATTTATGATTCTTGGTTCTTCAAGCATGTCAAACACAAAACTCAACCAAACGACCGTTTGTGAACGTAGAAACGATCTATACGAACATTCTAGTCATTAGATATATCTACGGGCTTACCTCGAAGCTTAATGGAGGTTTTGACGATATTCCGGCGAAACTTACAGCGAGGTTTGTGGCTAGCTCCGGTGACCTCTAACTCTCTAGACAGCACCACTCTACTCTCCACACTCTCAGGGACAAAATGGAAGAAGAAATAGAGAGAATGGTGAAGAAATGGGAGAATTGGGTTCTTTATATAGAAGAAGAGAAGAGAAGAAGACAGGGAAGATGAGTTGTTGCTGCGTAGGATTCCCAATTCACGTTCTCGTTTGGGGGAGATGTGATTTTTAGGCGATTCTGCACGTTACTTCTCTGATTGGGACTAATTAAGTCCCAGTCGGGGTACACTTTTTGGTCCAACTTTCTCCGAATTGAAATCCGTTTGCACCGTTGCGGTCGTACAATTAAACTCTCTCCAACGATATAATTTTTATATTTATTCGTTATACTTATTCCGACATCATATTTTTGGTGTTTGACTTTGACAGAGTCAAAACTGATTTGTTTGTCCTTTACTAAAAATAATGCTCATACTAAATTCATATTATTTATTCTCATGATTTATTTCAATAAATCATTTCAAAGTTCATAAACAAATTTCTTCATTTATCCTTGATTTGGGTCTGTACTCAAGTTCCCAATTAAGGTCACACAATAAGTCAACATTTTGGATTTATCTCTATGAGACTTATCCTGATGGTAATATTGTATATATAAAACACATATTATTTTGGCCTAAAGCCCAACAATAATTTATTTTAATCAAAACAAATTTGATTAATGGAATAATTATCTTATTAATAATTCTAGGGTATGTTTTGGGGCGTTACAACAGCTACCATATCCTCGTTGGCATAAGCAAGGTAGACCAGGTATTTCGCTCCTTGAACTACTGCCGCATCTATGTATTCAAAGCTCTTCATTGTCTCTCTAGTTACCCGAACAACTTCCTCTGAGTAACCGAGTATTTGTCCCTTGTTTAGAGCATGTAAGAACTTTGTGTTAGCCATGGATTTCCGGAAGAGGTTGAGGTTGTCCTTAATTACTTGATTAAACTGCTTCATACTCTCCTGGTCTATTTTTCCATCTGTGGAGTGTGATTGAGTTTTTTCGAACTCCAATTTTAGTGCTGAATCCATGAAAGCCTTGTTTGCAGATTCCGTCTGTCCTTCCTCTTCTCTGCCATAGAGCCTCTCACTTTGCGCGCATCTCCACCCTTCATCCCTGTCTATTTTAGCATTCCCAGATATTCTAGTAGTTCCATTTAGAAGTGGTGGTTGGCTACTCTCCAAAATCCTATCTTCTGATTCCCTAAGAAATTGAGCTAAACCTTTGCTAAAGAGCCTATATTCCAGATAAGTTGAAACCAACGGGTATGAAAATGTGAGAGCTCCCTTTATTAGAAAGTCTAGCATAATGTCCAAACCTATTTGATTCCCATACCACTTTGAGTGAAGAATCTCCATCATAACAAGTGATTTCCCAAGATTCTTCTGTGTAATCCGGCCTTCTTAGGATGTCGATCAAACGTGTGGCTAAAATCTTTAAAATGGATAAAAGACGGATCTTACCGGATTTTGATTCGGAAATACTGATGCACTGCCCGTCTGCTAAGATTACAAAATCTTTGCTTTCAATTGATAAAGAAATCTGACCGGCTTCGTTACTGAAAGGCCCTGAGCTCTGTCTCCTCCACCTCTGTGGTTTGCGAGCTGAAGGATAAAACTTGGGATGATAAGATTCAGAGTACCAAGGTCGTTGATTCCCATAACCTGGAGATTTCCTAGTGTACAGTGGTCTTCCCTGTCTTCATCGGAATTGAGTAGCCGCCAGTGGGCGGCGTTTCCCCTTCTTTCTCCAAACCCTTCCATCCATATATATATATATATATATATATGTATATATATAGACATATACATATACATATATATATACATATATATATATATATATATTATATATATATATATGTATGTATATAGATATATATATGTATATATATATATATGTATATCTATATATATGTGTGTGTGTCTATATATATATATATATATATATATATATATATATATATATATATATATATATATATATATATATATATATATATATATATATATATATATATATATATATATATCGGTAAGTCTAAAATGACACCAGTGCTACTGGTGTCATTTGCTTACACCAGTTCGTTTGGGGTACCTACGGTGCTCTGTTTGTAAAAACGACGGTTGCTACCCCCCCTAACCCTCCCCCTAAACCCCCCACCCCAGGCCCCCCTCCCGCCCCCCTCCCTACCCTGGCAGTACACTGCTGGCAGTGTACTGCCAGGGTGCTGGGAGGGGGGGCTGGGGAGGGGGGGCAAGGGTACTGCTCGGGCCAGGCAGTGTACTGCCAGGGTAGGGAGGGGGGCGGGAGGTGGGGCTGGGGTGGGGGGTTTAGGAGGACGGTTAGGGGGGGTATGAACCGTTTTTTACAAACGGAGCACCGTAGGTACCCCAAACGAACTGGTGTAACCAACTGGTGTATAAATAACTGGTGTCATTTTAGACTCTCCATATATATATATATATATATATATATATATATATATATATATATATATATATATATATATATGTATGTATATGTCTATATATATACATATATATATATATATAGGTTTTGGTTCTGGTGAGAATGCGATCTAATGAAAGAAATAAGAATGATTAATCACCGTTAGATCTACTCAAATTTAGATGTGAGATACGCTATTGATTATGGGCATTTTTGGGATTTAACATAACATCCTTCTCTGGTATTAGCCGGATCCGCACAATCAACGGACGATCTCTGTTTCCTTTTATTCGAGAGGTCGTTTTATTCAATCAAAAGAGAGACAAGAGCGAACTGTAAAGGGAAGGAGAGACAACGACGGGGTGCAGCGACGAGGCTATCGTCGAAAATTTAGGTTGCGGTGGACGGGGCATGAGTGCAGATGCAGTGAGGGATGAGAATTTTGAAGCAACGATGATTTACAATGGCAATTGGAAAGTGGTGATTGCGGTGGATGGCAACGAGAACCACTTCCTTCAGAAAATTGGGTTATATGGAGTAATTTTGCTTTATCTCCAAAAATGATTAGATTCTCTTCCTCTATATAAAGTTAATTTTATATTTTCTGCTCTCTTGCTGGCGATCTTGGAAAGACCTATAGCATGTAAAACAACCGTGTTTGTTTTGTATTTGGAGTGATGCTTTTTAGGATGTTTGAAATGCACCGTGGGTTGTTATTTTTTTAATTTGACATCCAAACCTTGCTATTGATTTTTCTAAATTTTTTATGTAATAGTTCGTTATGGCAAATTTGTGGTTAAGCGTAGTGTTAATTTTTTGGCATTTTTGTTTTATTCATTGTTGTTTCACTTCCTTTCCCTGCCCTGCCTCTACTTCTTTATGATAAATTTATGGTTAAACATAGTGTTCAGTTTATGGCAAATACATGTTTTTTGTAAGTTTGATTTTGATTTTTTTTATTTAGTATTTTTCACAAATGCATCACGCGTGTATATTTCAACTTTCATAAGCTTGATTTCTACATTTTTTGCATTATGCTTAAATGTTTCCTGAGCTGTGTCAAACTATAATTTCACGGTTCATGTTCATTGTGGCATGGAGTATAATATTTATTAAATTCTTTTGTAGACTTTAGTCTACTCCATATGACATTTTTAATTTGTTTCTCTATCAATGTTGACATGTCTAACTCTTTTGTTTGTGATGCATTTTGTGTTTGTTGATAGTGCACAGAATCACCAATGAAGATGTTTTTTCAGGATCCCAGAATGATCCAATGAATTTGTACCAAAAGTGGGCATGGTTTTCAGTTGTTTAGATGATGACATTCATTTTACAAGAACTATTCATTTGCTAACCCCCAGCTTTTTTTCTTTTTGGCGTCGAGTTGAGGATTCCCGAAAAGGTTTGTACAGAGTATATGACAGTCAAGTTTCCGAATCCATGTTGGCCATATTTTTAATTTCTTTGCCTTTTCCTTTTGTTTCATTCATTTATCACCCTATATGATTAGTTATTCTTTTTTTCCTTTTTGTGGGGAAGGTGATGATTACTTAGGTCCCGTTTGGTACATGGAATTCAAACTATGTAATTGGAATTGGGGACTTCAATTCCAATTCTGGTGTTTGGTAGCACAAAAATTATGTGGATTTGAAATTGATAGTGCAAAAAAATGAACTGGAATTTACAGAATTCAATTCTAAGGAATTGAATCCTATGGAATTTCAATTCCAATTCAATTCCAATTCCACCAATTCTGTATACTAAACGAACCCTTAATGTAAATCTACCGATCGACAAAAATCTAAAACAATTTTTTTGTTCAATATTAATGTTTTGCACAATTTTGCTCGCATGAAGTTGCTCTAATTTTTTAGTTAGGGCGAAATGCACAAAAAAGTTATTAGATCTGGGCATATTTGGGTAAACAATATCCTAGATTCATTTTCAAATGAAGTCTTTGAGAAGAAAAGGTAACCATGAATATTCACTTTGTCAAAAAAGTATGACCGTTTGGGAATTAACAAATATTCTGGTGCGGTATAAATATGCATGTCATTCTTTTTTGGAATATGAATCATTTATTTAAATTCAATTATTATCATTCTAAAAGTTAAACTTTAATGGATTAGAAAAATTATTTAATTATCATCAAGAATGTATAAAAATGTTGTCAAAGTGCATTATCAAACACGTGCGAAGCCAATGTTTAGATCATCTGATCTTTCTAGAGTGCAATTGCTAATAATATGCGTAAAGCATTTTGCTTCATATCAATCGGGATCCAGAATTTAGACTAAAGTAATGAGAAGAGGAAGACATAAAAACTCAAAGTTTATTTGACTAGTATGTGTTGGAATGCGAAACAGATGCTTCAAAAACTAATTCATTGAAATTGTAGAAAGAATATTTTCATTGATGAATTGTGGTGATTACATGTGTATATATACTAAGAATCTCAATCCTAATAATGGTAGGAGAGACATAGCAGGAAGGTGATACAGTTATGGTAAGAATATAATACAATAATATTAAATATAAAGAATATATTTAACATGCTCCCGGCTACGTCGGATGTGGAAGCGATCTGATGCCCAAGCTGTCTCGAAAGTCAAGAAACAGAAGTGAAGGGAGTCCTTTGGTGAAGATGTCGGCATACTGGGAGGACGAAGGAACATGCAGGACTCGAATGTGCCCAAGCGCCACTTTGTCACGAACAAAGTGGATGTCTACCTCAACATGTTTGGTGCGCTGGTGCTGAACGGGATTGGTTGAGAGATAGACGGCACTGACGTTGTCGCAGAAGACGAGAGTGGCACGCTGGAGGGGTTGCTGCAGCTCAAGGAGGAGATTGCGCACCCAGGTAGTTTCGGCTACTGCATTGGCTACGGCCCTATATTCGGCTTCTGCACTGGATCGCGATGTGGTTGCCTGCCGTTTGGACGACCAAGACACAAGATTATCTCCTAAAAATACGCAGTAGCCTGAAGTGGAACGTCTGGTATCTGGGCAACCAGCCCAATCAGCATCGGAGTAGGCTTGGAGATAATCTGTGGAGGACGGTGTCAGATGGATGCCATGAGTAGCGGTGCCGCTCAGATATCGAAGAACCCGCTTCATGGCAGTGAGGTGAGCGTCGCGAGGTGCATGGAGATGAAGGCAGAGCTGCTGAACCGCATATGTGATGTCGGGTCGAGTAAAGGTGAGATACTGTAGAGCACCCACAATGGATCTGTAGATGGAGGGATCGGAGAGTAATGTGCCCGTGGTGGAGGACAACTTTGCCTTTGCATCTACCGGAGTGGTGATGGGGCGACAAGAAGTCATTC